TGCAGGAACAGACTGATACGCACGTCTTGTGGAATATCTGCATTCATATCTGACGACAGCAGCTCTTCTGTGCCATAACAGAGCTAAGAGCTCAGGTTATGCATCAGTAAATACATAAATATATCGATCGTATGTTTTCAGTGCTGTTGCCGCAATTCAAAACACTTAACAAAACCTAGTGACAGTAGCTTAAAAAAAATAAAAAGAACATGCATAGCCTATTTAATTAATTTATTTTTTACAAGGCATTTGGTGTTCACTGACTTTTTATTTAAAATTATGAATAGCGTTTTATGTTAAAATGTTAGTTTATTTATTTACTAATTCAATGCTTTGCTGTCTTTATAGAGATACGATAAGCCATTCTAATGTCTCTTAATGTGTTGCTGCATCAGTGGGAATGCTCGTGTTGTCCGTCCTTCACGGAAATGGGCGCATTTGTTTGATTCGTAGGCTTACCAACCTCCCTCTGAAAGCTGAAACACGATATTATTACTTAATTTGCCTGCTTCGTTTTGGACTCTACTTCTTAAAGCCACCTAGATGTCACTTTGTGTTTTTAAATATATTTTTCGGGTCTGTTCTAGCACAAACAATAAGTAAATATTATTGCCTTGAGTCCTCATAAACAGTCTATTCCAAACATTGTTACTTAGTTTTATGTTGTGCTGTTATTGCACGCGATATGTCTTTTAATGCACGTAAACATGTTAGAATTTAGTCGAATTATGTAACTTAATTGTTAATTATTTTAATGCTGTTTACTTCCACGAGATTACACAAAAACATGTTATTTCCCTTTAACACACACACACACACACACACACACACACACACACACATGCATACACATATATATTCTTTAATTGTGGAGTACGAAGTTGTATAATAAGCGCTTACTGAATTGAACGAACAATAAAGCAATCCTGCATCCTCTGGCCCCCGAATGCAGCCCGCTTTCATTGATCACCCCCTTATGAGATAATGCAATTACAAACATCAATAAGGAGCTGCGAGGGAATCATTACGTGGTGACAGTGATAGATGATAGTGCAGAAAATAGCGCGTTTCTCTCCAACAATCCTGGAGCCCAGGGGCTTTCAGGGGTGGGCGAAGTCACCAAGGAAACAGATGACTTCCAAAATGGCCCTGCAGTTTTGGACACTCCATCTCTTCACTCCAGACTTCTCTCTAGTAGTCCACCAGCTGCCACATAACATTATTGCATGTGGTAACACGCTTGCGACCTTAGTGAAACAAAATTGCACTTTTATACAGATATATCAAGCATCGGGTTCTCACAATTCCGTCGTTTTATTGGTCTTTCAATTTTATATAAATCAACCTGGCTGTTTATATTCATTTATTTAGGCTATGTTTTATTTGTTTTGAGGTTGGCCTGGTGTGATTGCCGAAATGTGCATTCATGAGTTCTTTGAAACAAACAAGAAAATAAAAGATAAAGCGAAAAAGGTGACATAGGCTATTTACTTTACATATAAACTGTAAAAAATACAAAAATAAAATCAATGCTAAATATATTAGTTGAAATGTTGCTTAGGTTATTAAAACACTTTACTTCTTGCATTGTTTGCAATTGCATAAGTGCTTGCGATACTGTAAAATGACGATTCCAAATAACTTCAGTTGTTTAATATTCTAGCACCTTCCACTAAAATCATATGGTCTACAGTGTCTGTTCTGACATAGCCTATTTGTAAGTGTACAGTGATTTTAATATTGCTGTTATATACAATAAGTAATACATTGTGGGAGTATGTAGCCTAAATGTAAATGAAATTATTACTTTTATTTTTTGCAGAATTAAAATAAAATAGTAGCCTATTAAAAAAATAAAATAAAAAATAAATAGGCCTAAATGAAAAATCAATCACTGACACAAACACACTTCTCGGAGTGGACATAACCCTCTAAAATATGACCAGTGAATGGAGAGTGGACCACATTTGCATCTGCCACGGCTACTGCCGCCGCGTGCTGTGAAGACACATGACCCTTTGTGAAAGTTTTCAAATTGAAGCAAAACGACTCGAATACAGAGTACAGATGACAGAAACATGCAACAGCACAGCCCATGCTGCACTTTATGGGAGGCAGAAAGTCCTGTTTGGGCACCTCTGTGCTTATGGAACAAATTTCTTTCAGTCATTACTCACAGAGTTCAGTATGTGGTCAAAGCCAGACAAAAGCTTTCTTCTTTCTTCTTAAACAACAGATGGAAAAGGCGTCGTCCCTATATGTCTTTTACTGCAGATAAACGAAGAAAATCAATAATCATGTTCATTTGCAACAGTCACGAAACGCTCATTAGGACATTTAGGCTACCTACTCAGGGAACTAACAGAGAACCGATCTTTCTAATGTTTTGTACAGTATGTAGGCATGATTCCTGATATCTTTATTAAACTATATAGATTTGATTAAAGGTTTAGCTGTGCATTGGCAGTATAAAAATACACGCAATGCTTTATTACACGTAGCCTACTATTGTTACACATTAGCCCACGCATTAAAATAGTTAATTACAACAGCAACAACAATAAACAATGGGTTCTTCAAAAAAAATACGACATAGGTCATATAGCCCATTGTTCATTAACATTAGCAGCTGATAACATGAACACATTAGGCCTAATATACAAAGCGTGACAAAAACACCAAAACACTTTAATTAGCCTATTTATTTTTAGGCTTGTTGTTATTATTTTTACACACAATTATCAAATTTTTAATGCATTTTAGTAGGCTACTTTACTATTTTAGTCCATAATAAATATCTGCGTAAATTTCAAGATATAAAATATACATGCCTCTTAGGGACAGTTTCCCAGATCCCCTAAAGATGGCAGTCAAACATGGGATTTATCTCCGCCCGTGTCTCCAGAGCACCGAATGGCGAACGGTTGAGGAATTCAAATCTGAGGAGCTGAAACGGTGTCATTAAAACGTCGCCTGTGTTCCGCGTTGCTTGAGAGCAAAACATTCAGAAGAAAAGGTAATAAAAATACAATGGCGATAGAAAACCGAGGGACGGGTTTAAGAAAGGGAACTTAATGATTTATTATGGGAGTGTAGTTTAACCTGGCATCACCCATTTTGTTATAAGCTGGGTAAGTTTTTCCAGCATTCACCCAAGAATAGGCTATACCACGTTTCCCTGTCGTGGTCGTATCGAATCCATCGTAAACATACATTTCGATTAGTTGTGTCTGATTTAGAATTATTTAAGCGCTCGGTTTTAGCCGGTAGCTTAGAAACTGTCGTCGTCTGGATAATGCCGTTTCAAGCGCTCTTGACGGAGCCATTGACTGAGTGAAATAAGGCGTGAGGGGGAACTAATCTTCCCATTTAAGTGTTTGTGGCAATTTTATCTAAATGAATTTTAATGCTAAACGGGGGATAATTCTTCTTTTATCCGTCCCTCCACCTCATCTAGCCCCCCGTTTGAGCCTCCTTCGAACAGGCCGCACATTTGTTGCACATTAGCAGACGTACGAGAGAAAGTTGAATATGCAGCATTTAGACAAACATTTCAATCTGCTTGCAACATGTTCTTTCTCTATATATGTGATATATGCTGTCCTTTTCTTATAGTTGGACTCATCTTGTGTATTTAGAGCCTGGTGTTCAGACCATGTTACCACTCAGTGTTTTCTTGTAACTCGCATTGCGTTATTATAATGAATTAGCCTACAACAAACAATTTGCAATTACATGCAACTCATAAAATAATAACTTCCTGTTCATTTGCTCAGAATTTAATTACTCTGTGGACACTGCTAAAAGGTGTGACCCAAGAATTTTAGATGGGATTAACATGTAGGTCTAGTTTATGAAACTTTAAAATTACAATCTGTAAGTGACTTATAGACTCATAGAATTTGATTTAAACACCTACATAAGATCTAGGTTTATGGTTTTGATATCTCAAATTTGAACACCTAGTTAATCATTTGGAGAATTAGATCAGGAGGTTTAATTTTGGATTCATTACTAAGGGTGGCAAAAGCATGTAATGCATGTTATTAAAATTAACAAGAACAAAACCTGCAAATCAAAGTAAAGTGAACATTGGCTAATGAATATAACCATTTTGATTTTTTTTAAAGATATTAAAAAAAGGTTAGTTATCTAATGTCGGATAATGATTTAAATATTAGGTTAATCAAAATGTGTTAATGAGAAACAGAGAACCACACTGTTATTTGGCATCTGAAAACATTAATGGAATTAAGTTACCCAAAATATTTAAAGGATTTGTAGTATTTTGTGAATGACAGCCATACAAAACCTGAATGTTTGGGTCAGTAAACAGCCTCATATAATGAACCAGTCCTATGTAAAATCACACCAGGCCTGGAAACCACAAATATATGAAAAATAGTTCCCCCTCTTTTTACACAAAATTTATTCATTTACAATGTATACATAAACTCTTCAAAATTCAAACAAGTGATAGCAACACGTTAAACCAATATCTCAAAAACAGGTTTGCTTAATCAAAAGCATATATGTATCCCAAATCCCATTTATAACTTAAACGTAAAAGTTTGATGGGTTGGCTTTACACACACACACACACACATACGCTCACGCTCACGCTCACACTCACTCACTCACTCACTCACACACACGCTTGTTCTTCACATTCAGCTTTTCACACATCCAGTAAAGGTAAGTGAAAATAATTTGATTTGGGGGCAGTTCCATTATGATGTACAAATTGGGAATGCAAAATGGAGGCCTCCTGAAAGGCAGGAGGATGTGGCTCAGACAGGTGGATAGCACTCAGTTTCTTCTTAAGGCCATGATGGGTCATGGGAAATCTGCCCTCCCGCAGAACAAAAAATGGCCTGGCAAACAAGTGTTCAATGAATTATTGATTTATTCACATATATTTTTTTCTCGTTTAAACGCAAAGTGATTTATGGAGGAGGCCAAAAGTCTATGGAGATGGCACACACATAGTGTGAAAAGAAAAAAAAGTTCACATCCTTTTTAAAAACAATCTATTAGAAACAACATAATATGCAGAACAATACGATAGCATTTACAATACTTTTTTCCCAGTTCTTATGAAAGTCCAATGCAATTTTACAACAGTATACAGTATGTCCTCATCCCTCCCCTTTAGAGGCTGATATAGTAATAAATTCAATCTTTCTTTCTCTCTCGCTCTCTTTTTGTGTCTAAGCAAAGGGCACCTCCTTTTAAAGTGTCCCATAGTATACAGATATCTGGCTTTTTTTTCTTGGTCCGAATCTATAGCCAAGATGCAAGCTCCTCAGTCTCGGTAACAAGTCAGTATGTAATCGGTTCTTGGCAAGCCCCAGAAAAACCAATCGCAGCTCCTCGTCTATCCGTTGCAGTCATTTACAGAATCCGTTTTAGTAAATTACTGGGCATGGATGTCCATGAATTGTCCTCCCATGGTAGGGTCTCCTGGATTGAACATAGGGGGGCTAGAGGCTGACATGGGCATGGCAGGGTGAGGTGGTCCTCCGTGCATTAACATCGCTGGGTGGTGGGGGTGTCCAGGGATGTAGGAACGCATGGGAGGGCCGTGCCGCAACTGAGCAGGGTGGTGGGGCATCTGGGAGGCGCCGTAGCCTGGTTGCCCCATAGCCATACCCACCGGGCCACTGTGTGACAGGTAATCCCCTGGCATGCCTTGCAGTCCTAAGGAAGAAGGGAAAAAAAGAGAAGATTATAGCGATTATTGATGATGAATTTGGAATAGTCAGACATAACATTTTATATATATATATATATATATTTATATTTATTATATTGGAAGGTCATCAAACCAATCGTTTCCTTTACAAGGAAGTGACTCTACAATCACAGCACCAGAAAGCATATGAGTCATGTGGTTGTAAGAGAAGCCTTTGAGAGAGGACTTTCCTCTGTAATGAATGGGAAGAGACTAGAAGAGGAATCCGTGTAGTGGGAGAGGGAGGCTCTCTAGGGACTAACTCACTGGCCTGAACATGGCACTTTACTGCTGCTTGCACCAGGGATCTGTACTCCGTGTCGTATCCATCAGGTCTGGAATCCGCCACATTCATACCCGACTAGTCAACCGGAAGTTTGTCCTTCACTAAGGTCAACCAGAAGGTCGATATGTAGCTGTTATTAGGCTTAATTTGCTAATATTATATTCATCTCAGAGAACAATGCTGTGATGAAATCTATATAATTGGCTCCCCACTGGATAACCGTGACTATAATGTGTTTATATTCTAAAAGGCATTGACTTTATTATTAGTTTTTTACATAATTAAAAAAAAAAAATTTCATCCATAAATCTACTTTTAGCTTTTTAATCACATGCTAGTAAAGGTTGTACTTTCGAAATGATATAAATGAAAGTCTAACACTAAATGGCACATAGGTGGAAATGAACTGCTGTGTGTCCACGAGTCAATTCCTTATGCCAGAGGAAGCCACAACAATGACAAATGAGGTAAAATAAGCCATGCCTTTATTCTACGTTCTCCCCTCACTTATCTCACTTTAAACACAATGAGCAAAGGTCTGTGGCTCACTCTGAGAGCCCTTCAGAGAAACGCCACCATTGTGCTTAAATTAAAGACGAAAGGTGAAAATTTACAAAGGCCGTCACTTGAGAGGCCTCACCTGTGTGCGTGCACGTGCCACGAGCAGAAAGGCCACTAACCCTGTGACAGCGGCAATACAAAGCAACAAATCAACCTTAAATAAAAAATAAAAAACATCTCTTTTGTTATTGCCCTGGTTGTAGGTCTTTAGGTTTCAGCTTCAGAATGGCATATATAATGGTTGGTGTTTTGCACTAGCACTGATGCGGTAATCTGTATGCCCCTGCAATTATTTATCACTAAAGGACTGACCCAAGCTTTTGAGGGGTCATCAGCTGTATTTGATTTCAATCCTTGAACACGTTGTTTGGTGAGGAAGGAAAACATCCAGTCTATCAGAAAAGCAATGCTTGGATGTGAAAAGGGCAGACGTTGCAAATGTGGTTTTTCACTTAATAAGTCAATCAATACATTGAGTTCCTTGCCTGTCTATTTTCAGAGGTGCCATGGGACCAAATCGACAGGGGATGTTTGACATGGACAATACAGGAGCCAAATCCCCGAAGACTTTCCCCCCTTAAAAGTAAAAGTTCAGAATGGAAAAATGGGTACTTTGACCCTGCAAAAGGTTAACAAACTTCTGCTTAATGAATGGGAGTAATGAAATTTCAGACAAAGGAGTCTCCAGCAGAGCTTCCAGCTCACCAAAGCATACCAGCTGCATTCAAGTACGGACGGGGAGGGCGACATTTTTGTCCATATGCCCATAATTAATGCTCGCTGCTCTCACTATTGTCTTGAAATTAAAATGAAAACATTTTGGCCACCCTTGGCTAATTTTGTTGACGAAATGCAAAGAACGGTATGGGGGAAATGGTCATAAAACAGTCGTTCCCTCGCTAATCAAAGGCTTGCCCTCTTCTACTTGAGTAGCTAGGCTTTATCCACGCTGACAGGTGTATTGTTTCGGAGAGCTATAAGCTCTATAATCGTCATGGGCAGAAAGCATAACGCTTTGCTAAGTAGGTTTAATTGGCTTTGGTTTTAAGTAATGTTGCAGTGTGACTGCTTGGAACACCTTAATTTCAGGTCTTGGGACTTCCCAGCAAATAACTGTTTAATCTCGCCTTGAGGAGAATTCCTCAACTAATGAAAATTGCTTATAAAATATAATGAAGCCTTGGTCTCTTAATCAAATAAGATAACGCTTTTTGTAATAACCTATTAATTTAATTGGTAGCGAAGTATAAAACACATCACTTACATTTAATTGACCTAGAAACTATAGTAACAATATTTAAATTAGACAAGGTAGGAAATTTCAGCGATGAAGCCATAAAGACCAGGCATTCTTCACCATGGCGACATATTTCTGTCACACTCTGCCTCCTTTTCTTTCCTCATTTCCCCCTCTCGCTCGCTCTCTTTTTCCCCCTCAACCCATCTCATCTTAAGATTCCACACGCGGCCCAATTACAGAATTCGGCAAGCAAACTGAGGCTGTTTAAAGCAGGTTTCTCTCGTCTCTTCTGGGAACTATGGCAGCTGCTGTAAGCAGCCATTTGGACACCGGGAAACACTTTCAGTGTTTAGATACGCACACAAAGTGGGGACGTGACGTTTTAAAGCACAGAGGTTGTGTTAGCAGCCCATGTCTCTCAGGTTAAAGACAGTGAGGTAGAGAGTCTCTTTAACAACAGAGGTATTCTGTGCTTGGCTGCATTAATGATCGCTATTTTTGTATACTGAATAAGTCAAATCCATTTGTCACACCGCTTTTGATGGCATATTTAATTTGGATATAGTCAATTAGGCTGGACTAAGCTGTGTACCCTGCTGTGCACACCTCCATTTTGCACTCCTTCATCTCCCCTGCCTTTGCCATTAGTAATCCTATTAGGAAAGACAGACAAGAAAATAGTGGACCAAGCCAGGGTCGATAGAAGCAGCTCCACCTAAAACATTCCATGCAAGACTGACATAATTTCCAAATGTGTGGCTATGTATTTTGCTGCAGGGTGAGAGAGCGATTCTTTGTGCGTTGCCTCGCAGGTTGCTGTATAAATGTAACTCATGCATCAACTGTAGGGAGATAGATTTATGACACTTTGGGGACATGCACTTTTCTCTCCTTGCACTGCTCCAGACTGCTTACATTTTGCCAATCAGTCTGTTGCTATGGTAACACACCCCTCCCCTTCTCCGACCAAAACCCCAATCTCAATCCCCCCACCCTCCATTTGCCTCTTTCCCCACACAGCTATTCCTCCTCCTCCTGCGCTCTCTCTATCTTTCTCTTTCACCCACACTCATTTCCCCTTTTTATATATGACTCTATGCACTGTTTAGTAACATGGCCAAAAATGTTCAGAAGTAAGAAAGGGCAGCACAGGTCACACACGTACACAAGCACACAAACTCTTGATCGGAGCTTGTCACCCACAAGTACAGGAAATATTAGTATTGGTAAGCAGGAGAAAGCAGCTTGTTGTCTGGAGGAAAAGAGACATTTTTGTTTCTCCCATTTCGTAAAAGCAAAATTAATCGCTGAAAACATGTCAGAAATTATGGATGCTTGGTGACCCTGCTTTTGTACTTACTTCCCCCATTGCTTTGCGATTGGTTAACTAGAAGGTTACATGTAGTGCCACTGTCCCTCCATGCCCATATTCATGCCCATCCCACTCATAGGCCCTAGAAGGAGAGAAAACAATCGAAGAAGATGCCGAAAGATGAGAAAATAAACAGACCACGGCTCAGAGACAGGAGGTCAAGAAACAAAAGCACAATTCCCCATTTATTAAAAGAAAAGAGAAGAACACCATATGGTACAAATAAGACAATATAAGTAAACAAACAAGTAAATAATGCATTCAAAGGCTAAAGGTTGGAAAGAAGCCTGGCTTTGGATAAATCCTGCATCTTAAGTGGTGAGGTGGGAGGGGATGAGTGATTAGCAACAGTGACCAATTACACAGGTTGGAAGAGGCTTAGATTCAGAGAGAAGAGCAAATTCTGGGAAGATGGGTATTAGAAAGCAAAGGTCTCAGAAAGGAAACATGAAAGGACAAAGGGGTGCCATGCATTAGACCACACCTGTGCAAACCAAGGATCTTAGAATCAGACTGAGAAAGGAGGTAGTGCGGAAGAGAAGGAGGGGGCTTGTGGGAAGGTGGGACACGCCAAGGTCTTACCAGGTGGTCTGATTCCCATGTGCTGCTGGCCGTCCATCACGAAGCCTCCCATGGGTTGACCATCTGGGTTGTAGGGAGCTCCTTGACTTACTGCAGGAGGGCATGGTGAGGGAATATGGGGGAAACGATCAGTGGTCAATTAGTGCTTTTAATTAAGTTTAAGTCGCAGGAGAAACATCATCTGTTAACACGCATGCAGACTTAGGCATTTCACACAGTTTCTTTGGGTTTCATGAGAGATAAAACACTTGACAGAACATGCCCAATGAAGCTTAAGTACTGGGAACAAAGAGCTAAGCCTATATTCGGGAGCTCCTTGACTTACTGCAGGAGGGCATGGTGAGGGAATATGGGGGAAACAATCAGTGGTCAATTAGTGCTTTTAATTAAGTTTAAGTCGCAGGAGAAACATCATCTGTTAACACGCATGCAGACTTAGGCATTTCACACAGTTTCTTTGGGTTTCATGAGAGATAAAACACTTGACAGAACATGCCCAATGAAGCTTAAGTACTGGGAACAAAGAGCTAAGCCTATATTATGTAATACAGGAAACATGTTTAGACAACCCAAACAAATTAAGGTAAATCAAAGTTATCTTTTCCCCCACACAAGCTAATGGAGATGTACTTACCGCGAGTTCACGCTTTTCAAAGTGTGTGTGTGTATGCTGGGGGGTTATTTGGTAAAAGAAAAACAACTCAACCCCAATGAATGCCTTTGAACTTTTCTGAGTCCCTAATGCTACCCTGCCCCCTGAACCCTATTACAGGTAATAAAATTTACAGCAGTCCACAACAAGCCATGCACCAGGGGCACTGTTCACTAACAGGAAGAACTTAGCTGGGAGGCAAACATGGCCACTTCAAAAATAAAATACAAAGTTAAAAAAAGAAGATTAATATCTTCTGTACTTGACCTAACAACTCTCCACTGTTCTCTAGTATAATAAGTTGGATAGAGAAGATCCAGTTGTAGTTATTGTTTCAATACTTTAATCCATCGTACGTGTTTGCTCGCTTCTCTTCGTCACTGAGTTATATAGTGCCCAAGTCAGCATGATTAGTGCTTTGGGTTAATTGGATGGATTTTAGTGGTCAATCATTGTTGACATCCAGGCTGGGCTAAGTATTTACCGGCAGGTGGGCCTCCGGGTGCATGGCTTGCAGGGGGCTTTCGCCTGTGGGACTTGAATACAGAAACTATGGGGGACTTGCCTGCTCGGTTGGACTGGTCGATCATGGGCTGCACTATTCTTCTTCTTGCGTTAATGAACCTGTAAAAAAACAAGATGCAACATATGAATGAAATGTTATTGGAGTTTTTGCTATCTTTTTCTGTAAACACAGTCACATCCAAGCCTGCTGCTGTCCAGATCAGCCCAGATAGCTAATCAGAGGGGTAATTGAGGGATTTTTTCTCTAATCCTCTAGTACTCCAGTGGGAGTGTTGTAGAGTTGTCCCATAACACAGAAATGTTCACAAAGCTTACGACTTGTACAAACTTGTGCTAGCTTAATATATATTGCCTACTAAGCGAAGTGCACAATAGCACTTTGAAGAAAGTGGTGTTTTCCTCTATGTATGCAGTTCTTTTTTAACAACTTTATTTTAAACCACTGAACCATTCAAACCCTGATGCCAGATGTAACGCAGTTGATAGGCACCACAGGAATTAATGTGTTTAGGAAATGTTTGCTAACGTGAAGTGTTGCATTGTCAAAGAACATAAGTACAAGGCATGTTTTCTTTTTCCTTCTGTCTCCCTAGAGGGAGAATAATGAAACTGTGGGTTCAATGAGGAGTTTTTTTTCCCTGCCAAAAAGAACAGGCTGCTCTGCTATTCTGCGTATTGTGCATAACATTTGTGACAAAAACATATTTGGTCCCTGTAGCTTCTGACCCCCAGCCTCTTTGCACCATACATCGGAGTGCTCTGGCCTTGTTGTGCCTAAATCCCCTCTAGTGACCCTGTGACCCTGGTCACCTCCAGGAGACCATGCTCAGGGGTTCCAACTTGATTTATGTCCTCCTGCTGTTACCACAGTTGGACACTTCCATTTTAACATTTGAGGGGGGAATTAGTAGACTTTTAAGGAAACAATAGCCCCGCTACTGTTTTCAGGCTGAGAAAAGCAAGGGAGGAGACCTTGGGGTGTAGAGAGAAAGGGAGAGATAAAGAGAAAGAGCAGGACTAACAGACAAAGAAATGTTCATATAGGCATCTGCTAAGCTTCTTCTTTATTAATTATAAAACGGATCGTTCCAACTCTAAATTTTGACTGTTTAAGCCATTGGAAAATGCAACTGAGAACAATTTGCAGTTTGTATAATTTACTATATTACTATAGATATAATTAATATTCACAATATAATTATTATTATATAAATTGAACCATTTTTTAAATAAATGTAACTATTGAACAATAGCATTTTTGAGCCATCCATCCATACCATGATTAATGGGATTTTAAGGCACTCTTCATGTTTACCCATGGTAATATCACTGTAATAATTTGTCTCTCATGGTGTAAAACTTGAATTTTTTTTTTCTTTAAATTTATTTAACCAGAGATCACAACTTTCTCATATCACCAATATCACTCTACGATATCACCTTAAAGGCTTAAAAAAAGACCAGGGGAGGAATGTACTGACATGGCAGTGCACCATCAAATGAGAGAATGTCTGGAGTTTTATCACCAGCAGCGGGCTGGAGAGCAGGGGGAGTCTCAGACTAGGCATTCCTTTTACTGCCTTCATCTCAGGCTGGGGTCAAAGGGGGGGCACTGTTGTCTATCTGCTGACCTCTGCCGTTTGGATTTTCCTCCCTCGCTCACTCGCTTTCCCTCTGCCTTTTTTCCACTCACTTTTTTTTCAGATTGTGGAAATGGCTGTTCTTTCTTTCTTTCTTTCTTAAAGGTATCTTAAGCTTCCTCTCTCGTTCCTTCTTATGTCTAAGGCCAGATGCGCCAAAAGCTGGAACAAAGGACAAGTGCTACACAATACCAGGCAGGGGGATGGAGAGGTGGTGAGGGTGAGGGAGGGGGTTTAGGAGTGTGAGGAAAAAGAGAAAGAATGGTCATGCTCTGTTCTGTGAGCCAGGCGGACGCCCTTTTTCTCCCCTCCCCAACCCCCCCCCCCCTTACCTTTTTTTTTTTTTTTTTTTTTTTAAATTGTGGAAATGGCTGTTCTTTCTTTCTTTTTTAAAAAAGGTATCTTAAGCTTCCTCTCTCGTTCCTTCTTATGTCTAAGGCCAGATGCGCCAAAAGCTGGAACAAAGGACAAGTGCTACACAATACCAGGCAGGGGGATGGAGAGGTGGTGAGGGTGAGGGAGGGGGTTTAGGAGTGTGAGGAAAAAGAGAAAGAATGGTCATGCTCTGTTCTGTGAGCCAGGCGGACGCCCTGGCGCTGACGGTTAAGAAGGCAATCAAAAGGAGCAGAGAACCATACGGGCCAGGCTAAAGCTGGAGCCTCCATTAGGAGTAAAAGTTCACCTTTACGCGACCTCTCCGTGCTATAGGACTGCATTTATGGCCTGTTCAGTTTCTACTTCCCATAGGCACACAATGAAGCCAACTATTCAGCCTAGCGTGGGACAATGTGGGGCTATTTTAAAGCAAAACGTCACTAGTGGCACCTCCAAAGTAAGGTAAAAAGAGGAGGGTTGAAAATACACAGCTTTACTAAAAGGATGAGAAAAAAAGACTGAAATTAGTGTTTATGAGCCAAATGAACCTGGATGGAGGCTTGGTTGTTCTCATTCTGTTAGCGCATGTGTGTTTCGTAACTGTTGGAGCGCTATTGCTCATTCCCGCCTTTACTGACAGTCGATCTGATCTCTGTCGGGTCTACCAGGTCCTCTGCTAATATCCCACTCTCATTACAAACGCACAGGTGTAGCACGAACGGCACATGAAATGGCCAATTAAAAGCAAGAAATTGTCTTTTTCATCAGCTCCCTTTGTTGCGTGACCAATTAGGGAATAATTTAATAAGCGTTGCTGGAAAGATCCAGATTGAAGATACAAAAGGTTATATTTCAGTATGTCTATCTAAATGCATATGAAGTATGTAATTTTTCTAAGAAATGCCCCCTTCGTTCGCTCGTTCCCTCTCTCTCAGATGTAAACTGTGTGAGGGGGCGCATGCATGACTACGGAGAACCAAATTCACTCATGAAATCGCATTTCAACACACTCAGCTACATTTACATGTATATTAAAAACCCACAAACAGGCATATCAGTAATACCGATGGAATAGAATGATCTGATGATTCGGATCTGCATCTGTGGCTCTACAGGAATCTTCAGTAAAAATATGCATGAAAAGAAAATATCTAAAAGATGTTATGGTTTTAAGATAATTATCAGTTAAAATTATCGATTTAGTCATTGTGCTAACTCTGTGTTGGGACGTAGTTTAGTAGTGTGACAGTAGCTCAAATTATTTTTAAATATTGCAGTTCTCCAGTTACAAGCTGCTTTGTGACAATGCTACATTGCCATTTTCAATGTTGCGCTGTATCGTGCACACACATCAAACTAAGTCAAATTCATGCATAAAGTAATATTCATTGATTTGTTCAATCTAAAATAGATAAATAAATATTTGAGTCCCTGTGTGGCATTTTAGGTATTCTTTAATATTTAAATATGAAGCAAAAAGCTTATTGAAAGCTTATGTTTGTTACTATGGAAACACAGTTTAAATTGGTGTGCTTTCTGTTTTTTGGCTATGAATTTATAGGTTCAATTTAATGCTGTCACCCTAATTGATATGTTCATTCATTCAAAAACACTCATTCAGATTCATTCAGTTTTGTGCCAGTTTTAAATTATATAAATTAAATTACACTTAAAAATGTAATTTTAAATTGTATCATTAAATAGTTATACATTTTAAATTAGATTGCTTCCCTAATTAGCTACAATGTAGTTTGTTTTGTTAGCTTGTAATGTAAATAACTACTTTTTCAAAATTAAAGCTCAACTGTAATTTAACAATTTCAAAATAATGTGTAGCTTGTATCTTGGCACTAAATTTTAGTGCACACCGGTTAACATGCTAACTGCTATAAATCAACTAGCTAATCATGCAATAAGACCCCTCTGGTGAAACTAACTTTATTATCATTATCTGCTCTGGAGATCCATTTACTTAAGTAATTAGTAATTCACATGTTGGCATGCCTCAAGGCAAATTTCATAAATACGAGCATCTCATCTCAACCTAAAGTCATAAAAGTCCACCCTGGCTCCTCCTCTCTCCAAGTCATTCTGGGGTCAGTCGCTATGGCCTACCTGTGCTTAAATAAACTAGTCCAGCTGTTTGCTGCACAAATTCCATTTACACTCCTGCCTCCCCTCTATGCACCCGCTCACTCACTCACACACACACACACACTTATACATACATTTACACACTTTTTTAAATCAGCACAGCAACCCAGGTCTGGAGGAGTGGCGTTAACCTGTTCCATTGCTGGAGACAGACAAGGGGGAATGGGGCATACATAAAGGACCAACTTCCAACACCCGTTTGCATCTCTCACCTCAGACAATTCCATTCAGCCCCATCACACCCCTCTTCCTCCCCTCGCACTGCATATTCCTGCCTTTCTCACCTCTCGTCACGTTCTTAATAACATCGGCCTCCCCCTCGGCCCCTCCGCTGTTTCTTAGACTGGCCTGCGTGGGTGGAATCCCATGAGAAGAACCCACTCTACTGGGTCTAGGGAAGCAGGAGCCATGAACTAGTTGTTAGTACAGTGATGTCATTCTTCTTTAGACACTTACAGCTCATCCGAGGTGTGGTGGCAGAAAGTCACAGAAACATAGGCATGTGTCTTGACATATTTGCAGATTTTGCTGTAGTTGCTTACACCAGCTAATCCCAAACTTGGTGGCTTCCAGGTTTCTTGCATGCAACTGTGAGATCTGCACAGCTATCTTCATGTCAAACACTAATTTGGGGGATTCAATCTCACATTTAAATCTAGTAATCTTCCCGAAAACATTGCAGTGTGTATGTGGCCAGAGATTCCTAGACTTTACCGGGATTACCTGGTCCACTCTAGCAAGGCAAAACAGCTTGCCCAAAGAAAACAGAGGAGATGTAAAGGGGGCTTTTGGGGAAGTCTCAAGTAGGGGCTGGTCTAATCCCTGCTGCATCAGCCCCCCTCCAGCAGAGGCTGATCATTACTTCAGCAAACTCACCCCTGGTGCACCCCCACAAGCTCCTCTCACCAAACAAAGTCGAAACCTTTCCAT